TCTTTTTCATGGAATTTAATTTTTAGGAGTCAGGTATAAAACAAATTTAAAATTCAAAGAAGGTGGAAAGACCTCTTATTGTTCTGTGAACAATAAGTCTCCTAGTTAGGTCTTTCCACCTTTCTGTGGAAAGACCTCTTGAAATGCTTATGTTTATTATTATTATTTTTCTTCCCGGACTTTTGAAACCGCAAGACTTATCGAAAAGCTTTATAGTTCATGAAACTGGATATCAAAAGTTATTCTGAAAAACGACAGCCCTTGTTTGAACTTTGACCCCTTTTGAAGTTATTGCCCCTTTCGCTAGAAATGCTTGTTATCGCTACTCCTTCGAAACCGTAAACCGTACAAATATGAAACCTTCACTAAAGTCTTCGACTAATTGAGAGGACTCTGGAATCTATTCATTGCGAAAGTATTCGGTGACCTCTTCAATGAGTTATTGCCCCTGAAACTTTTTGAATTTTAGAAATAATTAAAAATTTTCAAAACGAGAAGTGATAGAGACATGGGACCAACTGCATAAGATTCATTGACCTTTGAGCTTAAAATTCATGTAAAGGTCAAAGGTCAAGGTCATTCCAAAACTGAGAAATTTAGTTCTTTTGATATCTTTTTTGTCTCTTAACATATACAAACTGTCTTAGCATCATAAATAAGTACTCTTGAAACTATTTTAAAGATTCAATTCGTATTCCGTAAGATTGACCCTATTAAAAGTTACCGCCCTTTGTGCTGAAAACCTTGTTATCGCTACTACTTCGAAACCATAAACCGTACAAATATGAAACCTTCACTAAAGTCTTCGACTAATTGAGAGGACTCTGGAATCTATTCATTGCGAAAGTTTTCGGTGACCCCTTCAATGAGTTATTGCCCCTGAAACTGTTTTAATTTTAGAAATAATTAAAAATTTTCAAAACGAGAAGTGAAAGAGACATGGGACCAACTGCATAAGATTTATTGACCTTTGACCTTCAAATTAATTTCAAGGTCAAAGGTCAAGGTCATTCCAAATATGAGGAATAAATTTCTTTCAATAGCTTTTATATCCTCAAACATATACTATCTATCTTCTGTCTGTAACATCCACTCTTAATACTCTTTTAATGATTTTTTTCTTGTACCCTAAGATTGACCCTTTGAAAAGTTATTGCCCCTTGTGCGAAAAACCTTGTTATCGCTACTCCTTTGAAACCATAGACCGTAGAGACACCAAACCTTCACTGATGTTTTAAGGGTCTAAAGACCTAACTTCACTGTATCAGTGCTAAAGAATCTGATGACCCCTTATATGAGTTATTGCCCTTTAACTTCTTTGTACTTACTATTAAACATGATAACTTGAAAACTATAAGTCGTAGAAGCATGGGGTCAATTGCATTGGGACCCTTGACCTTTGACCTTGAACATTTTCTCAAGGTCAAAGGTCAAGGTCATTCCATTTTTTTTTTAATTTTCATTTCTCTATGCTTTAAGACCATTTTGGATTCTTTTTCATGGAATTTAATTTTAAGGAGTCAGATATATAACAAATTTGAAATTCAAAGAAGGTGGAAAGACCTCTTATTGTTCTGTGAACAATAAGTCTCCTAGTTATTTTTTATTATTTTTCCGCCGTGTGATTTTGAGTTTCAAGATTTATCGTAAAGATTTTCAATTCATAAGAATGTACTCCATAAAAGATTTTCGCAGTTGACCCTGCGTAAATAAACTATGACCCCTTTCGGAGTTATTACCCCTTTCGCAAAAAAGCTTGTTATCGCTACTCCTCCGAAACCATAAACCGTAGAGAAATGAAACCTTCCCTAATGTCTTCGACTAATTTAGTAGACACTTCATTGATTCATTGCAAAAGTATTCATTGACCCCTTCAATAAGTTATTGCCCCTGAAAGTTTTAGAATTTTACAAATAATTAAAAATTTTCAAAACGAGAAGACGTAGAGACATGGGACCAAATGCATAAGATTCATTGACCTTTGGTCTTGAAATTTATGGAAAGGTCAAAGGTCAAGGTCATTCCAAAACTGAGAAATTTAGCTCTTTTTATATCTCTTTTGTCTTTTAACATATACTTAATGTCTATGCATCATTAATATGTACTCTTAAAACTGTTTCAAAGATTTCACTCTTGTCCCCTAATATTAACCCTTTAAAAAGTTATTGCCCCTTGTGCGGAAAACCTTGTTATCGCTACTCCTCCGAAACAGTAGACTGTAGAGACACCAAAACTTCACTAATGTCTTCAGGGTCTTTAGGCCTAACTTCACTGTATAAGTGCAAATGGATCTGATGACCCCTTATAAGAGTTATTGCCCTTTAAGTTTTTTGTACTTACTATTAAACCTTATAACTTGAAAACTATAAATCATAGAGGCATGGGGACAACTGCATTGTGACCCTTGACCTTTGACCTTGAATATTTTTCAAGGTCAAAGGTCAAGGTCATTCATTTCTTTTTAATTTTCATTTTTTCTATTCTTTAAGGGAGTTTTGGTTTCTTTTTCTTGGAATTTAATTTTTAGTAGACCGACATAACAAATTTAAAATTCAAAGAAGGTGGAAAGACCTCTTATTGTTCTGTGAACAATAAGTCTCCTAGTTTTTATTATTTTTCCGCCGCATGTTTTTTTGTTTGAAGATGTATCGAAAAGATTTATAGTCCATAAGAATGTACTCCGTAAAAGATTATTGCAGTTGACCCTGTGTAAATGAACCTTGACTGCTTTCGAAGTTATTGCCCCTTTCGCAAGAAATGCTTGTTATCGCTACTCCTCAGAAACCGTAAACCGCAGCGGTATGAAACCTTTACGAATGTCTTCGACTAATTAAGGGGACTCTTCAATCTATTCATTGCGAAAGCATTCGGTGACCCCTTCAATGAGTTATTGCCCCTGAAACTTTTAGAATTTTACAAATAATTAAAAATTTTCAAAACGAGAAGTCATAGAGACATAGGACCAAGTGCATGAGATTCAGTGACCTTTGACCTTTAAACTTATGCAAAGGTCAAAGGTCAAGGTCATTCCAAAAATGAGAAAATAAGCTCTTTTTATATCTCTTTTGTCTCTTAACATATACAAACAGTCTTTGCATCAATAATATGTACTCTTAGATCTATTTCAAAGATTTCATTCTTGTCCCCTAACATTGACCCTTTTGAAAGTTATTGCCCCTTATACGAAAAACCTTGTTATCGCCACTACTTCAAAACCGTACACCGTAGAGACACCAAACATTCACTAATGTATTAAGGGTCTTTAGACCTAACTTCATTGTATAAGTGCAAAAGAATCTGATGACCCCTTATATGAGTTATTGCCCTTTAACTTCTTTGTACTTACTATTAAACCTTATAACTTGAAAACTATAAGTGGTAGAAGCATGGGGTCAATTGCATTGTGACCCTTGACCTTTGACCTTGAATAATTTTTCAAGGTCAAAGGTCAAGGTCATTCTTTTTTTTTTTCAAATTCCATTTTTTCTATGATTTGTGAGAGTTTTGGCTTCTTTTTCATGGAATTTAATTTGTAGGAGACAGATATAAAACAGAGTTCAAATAAGGTGGAAAGACCTCTTATTGTTCTGTGAACAATAAGTCTCCTAGTTCTTTTTGATTTTGCAAATGATTGAACGGCCAAAAAAGCTGCCAAAAGTTTTTTTGCATTTATGTGATAGGATTTTTCTACTGAGGACCAAAACCCTCCTGTGCTTTGAGTTTCGTATGTGGCCCCCCATCCTAGGTCTGAGGCATCTGATGTGAGAATCATTGAGGGATTTGAAGCAATGATTGATTCCCATTTGAAATTTCTAACTGATCTATCCACCATCTTAGTTCTGTTTTTACCCCACTTGATATAGGAATCATTGCTTCGTAATGTTTGTTTTCTAGTAACCCCTTGATCTGAGTCATTTGCATGCATCGACAATGTAATTTTGCTGGAATTATTGCCTGCATTGTTGAAATTAATTTTCCTATCAACTGGGACATTTCTCTGACAGACAGACTTTCTTTTTTCAGAACTTGTGTACAGTTTTCTTTTATTTTTTGCACTTTTTCTTCTGGTAATCTGAAGAGCATATTTACGGAGCTTATTTCGAACCCCAGAAAAGAAATTTCTTGGACTGCGTCTAACATAGATTTTTTCCAGTTTATCATGAAACCAAGTATCTGTAAGAGAAACAGTGTTGTATTTCGACTTAGAACCAATTTCTCTCTGTTTCTGGCTAGAATAAGTATGTCGTCTAAGTAGATTATGAGCTTTATTCCTAACCTTCTTAGAAGACCTACTACTGGTTTTAAAAGTTTTGTGAATATTCTTGGAGCAGAGGCCAGACCGAATGGAAGTGTCTGGAACTGAAACATCTCCCCTCTCCATAGAAATCTCAAAAACTTTTGATCCCTTTGATTGATTGGGACTGTCAGATATGCATCTTTCAGATCTATTTTGCACATGTAAAAACCCCTTTCCATTAAATCTTGAACCATGAACAGACCTTCCATCTTGAAATGTTGATAAAGAAGGAATCTGTTTAATGGTTTTAGATTTATTATGGGTCGATGTCCCCCGTCTTTCTTTGGGACTGTAAACATGTTGCTGACAAATTGATATTGATGGGAAGTAACTCTTACTACTGCATCTTTCTGTAGCAAACTTGTTATTTCTTCTTGAAGAATGTTTTCTTGCTCTGGGCTTAAAACTGGGGGATGAGGAATTTTTTCTTGAACTGGATGACTTATCCAATCTAAAGAAACTCCCTGAACTGTTCTTAGAATTGTTAGATCTTTTGTTATTCTTTGCCAATTGTTTATGAAATACTTTAGCCTCCCCCCAACAGGGATTACATTTTCTTGATCTACCAACTGTAGATTTAAACCCAGAATTTCTGGAAAAATTTCCGATTTTTGTAGAACTACTACAGAAAATGAGCTTAACGCTTCTTTTGCATAAGTAAGAGTTCTTTCCCTTTCTAAATTTTGAGGTATATTGTCTATACCTGTCTGACTTCTTTCTGTAACCCTGGTTAGGTCTGTTGAACCTGTATCTTTGGCCCTCCGAAAATCTGGCGGAGGGCCCATCTTGAAAGGGCTGTCTGAACCTTTGCTTATTCCCGTAACTGGTATAGGAAGTAGAAGGTCGATTGTAAAAAGTTGACTTCTTTCTTTTCTTTTTCTCTGGCTGAAAAGCATCAACTACCTCGCTAGCCACTTTTCTTCTTTTCCCTGTCTTTTTTAAAATCTTTATAAATTTATCACCAAACAGTTTACTCCCGCTTGTTTCTAAAGCTTCAGAATTTTCATCCAAAATGGCCTTAGCCTTCTTGTAATCTCCTGTAATTTTCACAGTCGCATTTAACCTGCGATGGTGATCAACTGCAACACTTGCTTGGCCAATCAAACAAACAGACTGTTCTAGCAAAGAACACATGTGGGTCACGTCAACGTTATCAACTTCATGAGACTCCCCAGAGGCAGCACGCAGATCTTCTAGAATGCCCCACAACTTAGAAAGAGGCCCCAAAGTTTTGTAAATTCTCGACTGAATATTTTGTGCCCCTTTGTCAGCTCCTTTATCAAACTGTTTGTTTTTCTTTTCCAGTAAAGGACTGATAAAAGAATCTAATTTTTTCACTTTGAAAAGATCACCTGCATCGGGTATTGGATACTTGTCCAAGGTCTTAGTTTTAAGGGTTTTGTTATGTCTTTTTAGACAATGGGTTCGGACACAGTCAAAACACGTGTGCTCAACAGCAGGTTGCCATTTTGGAACTATTTTATTGTATCATTACGCAACTGTTACAGTATTACAAAACACAAAACCAACAAAAGATTATATAATTCCGGATAACAATATCAGCTTAACCAAATCATAACATTCCTCCCCACTAAATTTTGACTTCCACAAGAATTAAAATCAGAACTTAAATTGAATGAAATTTTGGGCAATATACACATTTCAAATATTAAACTTCACAGACATGTTTTACCAGGCCAATACATTCAACACAATACAGTATACAAAGTGAAAATGACCTCTTGGTCAACACAAAGGCACGGGGATTATTGTGCCCCAATACTGTGCCATAATACACAAAACAAAATGCACAATTCATTTGAAAGTAACATAGTCACTGAAACGTTTGGGCGGTCCAACATTTCGTCTTGGATTTTGTCTGGCTAGTATGGTAGGCTCGGTCCTAACTTCTGGCTGAGATTTCTGTTCCTGGATAGGACTATTAGCTTTCTTCCTGTTGAAGACCTCTGGAGTTGACTGCCTGACTTTCGTACCTTGCGGAAAGACTTCTGGACTAGACTGTTTAGCACTAACTGTAGGAGTTGGTACATGTACCTGTGGCACAAACTTCTCAAGATCACTGGGTACAACTTCCTGATTCTTTAGTGAAGAATCATATATCTGATCTACGTGTCTTCTCCAAGTATTGTCCCCAACTTGCACTCTGTAAGAAACAGGTCCTGTCTGCTCTTGAACGGTTCCTGGTACCCAGTCCGACTTTGAACTGTGACGGTAGTCCCTAACAATTACACTGTGCCCAGGTTCAAACACACGCAATGAACTTGATCTCTTAGATGCGATGTGAAACTGTTTGTTTTTAACATTTTGTTCAATGTCTGGTTTTATCAAATCTAGTCGTGACTGCAATGAACGACCAATGAATAGCTTTGCAGGTGACTCTCCAGTAGTTGAATGTGCTGCGTTGCGATAGGCTAGTAAAAAGTTAGATAACTTCGTTTCCACAGAACCTCCATCCTTCTTGCTTGACTTCATTGCAGACTTGAACGATTGTACAAAACGTTCCGCTAATCCATTTGAGCTAGGATGATATGGAGCTGAAGTCACATGCTTTATTCCATTGGTACGAATGAAGTTTCCAAACTCGTCTGACGTAAACTGAGGTCCGTTATCACTGACCAACACTGTAGGAACACCATTTCTAGCAAAGATACTTCTCAAGACCTCAATAGTCTTGTGGGATGTCGTCTCGCGCATCATTATGACCTCAGGCCATTTTGAATGTGCATCTACTGCTACCAGGAACATCCAGTTCATAAAAGGCCCAGCGAAGTCTATATGGATACGTTCCCAAGGTTTAGTGGGCCACTCCCACGGATGAATGGGGGCTGCTGGAGGTGCACGCTTGAACTCCTGACATCCTGAGCATGCTTTCGTGATCCTCTCTATATCAAGATCGATCCCGGGCCACCATACCACACTTCGAGCTAATGCCTTCATCTTCACTACTCCAATGTGACCTAAATGAAGCTCCTTAAGTATGTGATCCCTAAGCTTTGTTGGAACAACAACTCTCATTCCCCACAACAAACATCCATTGTGAATTGTTAACTCGTCCTTACGCGTAAAGTAGGGATACAAGTCCTTATCATCTGCTTTGACCGAAAAGCTCCATCCATTCATGGTATAACCATATACCTTCACAGTGACAGGATCACGTCCAGTTTCCTGTCTAATACGGTCACTGGTGATTGGTAATGTTTCCAATTGTGGTAGGTACATCAAGTCAATATCTTGATAATCATCATCAGATTCACAGTCAGACAGTGGTAGCCTCGATAAGCTATCTGCATTTCCATGCGCTTTGGTGTTTTTGTACATAATGTCATAATCATACCCTGATAAAAACAGAGCATATCTCTGCATGCGTGCTGCTGTTGTAACTGATACACCTTTGCTGGGGCTGAAGATGGACACAAGAGGGCGATGATCCGTCAATAAAGAGAAGTGTCTTCCATAGAGGTATGTGTGAAAACGTTTCACACCCCATACTATCCCCAGAGCCTCACGATCTATCTGTGAATAGTTCCGCTCTGCTGACGACAATGATCGAGATGCATATGCTATCGGTCGTTCTGATCCGTCATCCATGACATGGGATAATACACACCCTAAACCATAAGGTGAAGCATCACATGCTAATCGCACCTCTCGCTGTGGGTCGTAATGAGTCAAAATCTCATCAGAGGTAATAAGCTGTTTGACTTCAGAAAATGCCTTGTCACATTCGCTAGACCAGGACCACTTTCGGCTCTTTGACAGTAACTGGTGTAGCGGGTACAAAAGACTTGAAAGGTTAGGCAAAAATCTGGCATAATAGTTAACAATGCCCAGAAATGATCGCAACTCTGAAACATTCTTCGGCTTCGGCGCACTGACAACTGCTTCAATCTTGGATTGCGTTTTGTGCAGACCCTCACAGTCTATTTCATGTCCACAATAAGAAACACGTTCTCTGAAGAATTCACACTTATTCAAGTTCACACGCAAGTTGTATTCATCCAGGCGCGTTAATACAGCTTCCAAATTCTTCAGGTGTTCTTCCTCAGATGAGCCCGTTATTATCATATCATCAATGATACATTTGACGCCGGTGAGACCCTGTAAGACTGTGTCGATGGTCCTTTGCCAGATTGCAGGAGCTGAGGCCACACCATAAACTAAACGGTTGTAGCGGTAGAGTCCTTTCTCTGTATTTATTGTCAATAAGTTGCGCGACTCCTCATTTACTCTCATTTGTAGATATGCATGTCGTAAATCTAACTTGGTGAATCGCTTACCACCTGCGAGTGCTGCAAAAATGTCTTCAATGCGGGGCAGCGGATACTGATCGATTTCAAGAACAGGGTTCAGTGTCACCTTGAAATCACCACATATGCGCACATTTTTATCAGACTTGATGACAGGGACAATAGGCGTTGCCCATTCGCTGTACTCCACCTTGGTTATGATACCATCTCTGACTAGTTTGTCCAGTTCAGCCTCGACCTTAGGCTTGAGAGCATACGGTACTGAGCGGGCTTTACAGAACTTTGGTTTAGCGTCCGGCTTTAAGTTGAGTGTAGCTTCAATACCCTTAACCGTACCTATGTCACTCTGGAAAACTGAACGATGTTTTTCCAACATGTGTTTTAAGTCCGCTTTCACATTATCAGAACAAGTGTCTGAAATCTTGTCTGTCACACACGACATGGACTTGATGGACGGCCAATCGAGTGAAATCTGCTGAAGCCACTCTCTTCCGAAGAGCGTTGGTCCTGCCTTCTGCATCACGTACAAGTCTAGATCCTTTTTCTGGTTGTTGTGACTCACATTTACACGTGCCACTCCACAAGGCTTCAAGATTTCACCAGTATATGTCTTTAAACACATATTTGATTCAGGTAAGTTCTTAATCCTTCCTGGAAAATACTCACAGAACTTTTTCTTTGACATCACGGAGACTGCTGCGCCCGTGTCGAGTTCCATATCAACATCTACACCGTCAATGTTTGTGTTGACTACGATTGCTCCAGAATGAGTCTTTTCAACTGAATTCACATCTAATGATCCAATGAGATTCTCACTCCAGTCCACATTGTGTACCTCCTTTGTTTTCCTACATGCCTTTTTACAATGTCCAATTTTTGAACAATTATAGCACTGTTTATCTTTGTAATAACACTGACTTTGATCATGAGCTGTACTGTTACAACGGAAACATTTCTTTGAATTCGTACCTCGTTTCACCTTAGGCATGTTGGGTTGTGGCGACCTTACTCCAGTTCCAGCAGAGTGATATCCCTTTTTCTGTCTCACCCCTAGCTTGTTTACCATTCCAACGTGTTTGGACTGCAGCTCGGTTGCATCCTTGAATGCGGTCTCCATAGCCTGTGCTATCTGCGTCGCCTTCTCTAATGTCAAGTCTTTTTCTGCTAACAGTTTATTCTGAATTGCCTCGCTCCGAAGGCCACAAACTAATCTGTCACGCAGCGATTCGTTCAGACTGTCTTTAAATGCACAATGTTCTGACAATCTTCTAAGATCCGCTATATAGTCTCTAATAGACTCACCTTCCCGCTGGTCCCTTTTGTAAAACCGAAATCTCTCGGAGATTACTACAGGAGGGGGGTTCAAGTGATCACCAAGGATTTTCACGAGTGCGGCATATTCCACGTCTGCCGGTTTAGTCGGTGCTGTCAAACCTCTCAATAACTGGTAAGTCTTACCCCCTATGAGGCTTAGCAATGCGGGAACTTTCTTTTCCTCCTTGACATCATTGCACACAAAATACTGGTCAAGGCGCTCACTGTACGAGTTCCAGGTTTCGACATTGTTGTCGAAGATGTCGATACGACCAATGGCTGCGAATTTTGCCATCCTGAACGATCCTCGTCGCCAATGTTATGTCTTTTTAGACAATGGGTTCGGACACAGTCAAAACACGTGTGCTCAACAGCAGGTTGCCATTTTGGAACTATTTTATTGTATCATTACGCAACTGTTACAGTATTACAAAACACAAAACCAACAAAAGATTATATAATTCCGGATAACAATATCAGCTTAACCAAATCATAACAGGTTTCGTCACTGAAATATTTAGTAAAGAATGGATGACAAAACTGTTTCAACTCATTGTCAAATTTTTCTCCTTTTACATCGTTATTAATGTCAAATCTTTCGTAAACTTCAATCGTTTCTGACGTTACACTTCTTTTTGGTTTTGGAAAAACCCCTACATAAACAAATAAATGGGCGCAGACATTTTGGACAGACATTTTGGACACCCAAACTTGTGCGGAGGAGAAAATGCTAGCTGGCGCGTGATTGGTCAATAAGAGAAAAGATTTGTTATGTATTTGACAAGTGAAATAAAGTTGATAAAAATCTCATATCAAGACTTGGGTTTCTTTGAGGTATATAGGAGTTACAGGTAAAAATTTGAAGGGAGGAATGCACTTTGGTTAAAGATTTTCATTTGGTGTCAAACGCACCTAGTTGTAAACAAATGGAAATTGAAAGTAAAAGTGCAACGGCACGGTATATTTTTTCTGGCATTTTTTGTTTTCCAATATCTCGAACTTTCAAGACAAAAAGGTCATTTGCCCGAAATTCAATACATGTATCAGTGAGAAGGGCTAAAGTTTGTATGGAAGTCTATGGGAAAACATTTGGAGGTGTTTGACAGTGAGGTGCTACTTTCGTTTTCTCTAGTTCCGGTGTTGGAATTAATGGATTCCGAACCCGACTTCTGTGACTTACGAGAAGAAGCTCTAGAATCACTGCTACTCCTAGAACCGTCAGAACTTGAAGAATCTGAACTGGAGCCAGAACTCGAACTAGAGTGTCTCCTTTTCTTCGCTCTATTCTTACTGTGAGTTTGAGCTTTGGTGTGCCCACTACTAGGGGTTTCACCTTTATCAAAATGGCGACCATGTCGAGAAACGTGTTCTCTTGAATTCGCCGGCGAACTCGACCTAGAACGCCTAGTCTGCTCTCTCGACCAGTCTGAGAAGGACATGGAACTGTCTGGTATGCTCAATACATCCGAATGTTTTCTCATAAAACCAAGGTCGAGGGAAAAACGTAAAAAACAAATGAACACGGGCACCACGAAGTGTAGTGGACCGTAACAATTCCAGGTAAGTGTCACTCACGAGCCAAATCGAAGAATGAGTAAATTTCTATAGGGAGACTTTTTATATGGCTATTCATAGCGTCACCTAGCGGCGAGTCAAGCGGAGAGAACACTAAGTATCTTATCGAAGGTTATGAAATGAAATTGGCCTTCGTAGTTCATGGTGGGCTTAGCAAGTGGGTATTCACAGATGAAAGTATTGTTGCATATGGTGCCAGCACCCTAAAAATTCAATGTGAAAGTGGTACATGTACACACTGGTACACACATACTGAAAACAACTACCCATTATTATGGCAACTTTGATTTTACTTTGAACTTACGAGTGATTGTCAAAAACATCAAAGTTCGAAAGCAGCACAAAATTGGCTGAACAATACGAAATACGCACACTGAAACATGAAGATCTAGTATTTTCTTTTGAACGTGAACTAATGCGTTTTAAACTTAAACTATTCAGTTAATATACACGTATTCTCACCTGCTAATACCAAATGCATGTCCGTATTATTTGATTCATTGATGTGATGATCTTCCTCGTGAAATAATCATAAAAATTGACGCTCAGATTTCGGATCACCATCATGTTTACACCACAGCGGAAACACGTGGCTATTTCAATTCGTATCTCATACAGTGATGATGAGTCGTATTTATTTATAAATGCGAGTTTTTGTATTGTTAAATTTCGTGCCAATATAGATTTAATTAAATTGCAAATTAAGTATACAGTATAACAAGATACAACAATATTAATATCTGATTTTTTTAAAGTAAAGATCAACGTTTAGGGAATCTACAATTTTTATCAACATTGTATAATCATTACATGAAATATACATCATTACATGTTATTGTAGATGAATAAATTAACATTTCACTTCACAAAAGGCAGAACGATAGTATATATTTGTTTTTTGGAATCTATTTTTTTTTTTTTTTGTATTATGCATTTATTTCAGTAAAAAATATATTCTAAATGGTCAAAAACGTCTTATAAAGGAATTTGTTGTTTCGAGTAAGACGCAACAATATCGACCTTGACGTTACATGTAAATATTGACCGATTTTTCCATAAAAACTATGCGAAGGTCACAAATTCAAATTATCGTAATTAAGAAAATACTGAGCGTAATAAGCCCTGTAAGGGCTGGTTGGAAAGGAAATTTTCTCTACTTTTACTAGCTTTAATTTGTTTTCCCTATTTCAACACAGAAATAAACTTAAAACTGAGCTCTGTTAAAACATAACGAATAAAATCGAGAAAAAACACATAAGTGCAAGAAAATTCATGTTTTTAAAATATACTTTAAAGTAACAACAATAATTTTTACATATTTTAAAAGCAGAGAAAATATGCTTTAAAAATATACTATACTTTCCTTATAAAGTTAATCAGGAAAAAAATGTCAATCGTCTGGAAAATCGGCAATTGCTTTGGAAAATTACGCTATTTTCAAAAAGTCACGTTTGCCTTCACAACGTATAAATACCGGCAATCAAGACATAATCTTTTTAGATATTTTAAAAGTAGAGAAAATTTCCAAAAAGATGATATATAGTTTATATACCTTCATGCTACCATAAAATAGATACGGAAATCTTATTTTTGCGAAGTCGTGTTTTAACGCGCCACCGGTCAATTTGACCGATACGGAAGTGAAGGGGTTAAGGATGATAGATAAAGAGTGATACAAAAACAATCCATGCAAACTCTTTTCTCCTTTAACAATCTCAATTTCTGTAGGGAATAAAAACTTTTGTGGCCAAATTCTACGGTGCCTGATGGGGTTTCAAGGTTTGTTACAAAAGGGGGTTTTAAACTCAAAGGTTTTTTTTCCACTTGCCGATGGACAGCTGCAAATTTTGTCCCATACTCAGCACTAACGGCCATTGAGCAGTGAGGTATCCTTTTTCGTGTTGCCACCTACTGCGACATGGGGTCTCGGTTTAATACGATTCATCCGAAGGACCGGTCTCCACGTCCCTCAATTGGATTCGAATCCGCGACGTGAGGATCGACTCCTTACTTCTATTGTAGTATCAAGTTTATCATCAAGTCGAATGCTGACTGACGTTTTCATACCAATTGTTGGACCATTATTTATACACTAAATCGTCTACGGGTTTTTTTCGTTTTCCCATCATAACAAGGAGCGCACAGTTGGTGTGACCGGTTGTTAGGGGATGCTTTATCCTCCATGATACCTGATCCAACCTCTGATGTTTTAGAGGTTCGTGTTTGTTCTGCTCCTCATTTAAATTGTCTGATTGGACTTATGAGCTTGAATACTGTGATCTCTCTCTATATATATATATGTATGTATTTCATAAACTTGTGTGTAAATGGTGATTATAGACGGTGGTCGATTTTTAAAAAAATTATAAACAATCCAATTGTGTGAAGAGGGAATAAAACACGGATCCTTAGAAATTCTTTAGGTGATATCAGGTGCCTAGAAGTTTCCCCTGTTGACGGGTCACACACCTGTATTGATCAGGTAAACGGAATATTCCGTAGACAATTCAGTATAAAAACAAAGGCCTTACAAATGGTTTGAAATAAGTCAGCCAAAACACGACCCAATGATAGGTCATGTGTGCTAACAATGTCATTTTAATCACCATAGAATTTATGAAATGCCATACGTATGTATTGAATGAGTTCTACAGTGAAATACGTCGCATTTTTACGTTCTTTAGTCATAAATATTAACCAAAACCTAAAATATCATGCAATAAATATTCTGTGGATTTTAAGTATGTAAACAAAGTAACGAATATTTGTTCTCCATAAATTTAAAAATGAGCCAAAAACATTAATTGTCAAGGCACTATCCCTTTTAATTCCACACCTTATTAAGATTTAGTTGTGTCATCTTTCTATCCCGCAAGTACTTAAATATTAAGTGGTACTTTCAAGTCAAGTAGTCGCTAATGCTCAACAGGTTTCATTCGCTGATACTATGTTCCATCATTTTAAAGTATTCATTTTCAAGTGTTGTTAACAAGTACGCAGTAAAAATTATTCGGAAATCCCACTTGAAAACATAAATGAACATTATCTACAGCCAAAATTTATGACATGGTCATCATAACATGATTTAAAACTGTCTAAGGATTGTTCTCAGTTATATCGATAAAGAAGCATCATGGAAAACATATTCGAAAATTCAACTCAGGACTATGAAAATTTAACGAACACCTCTACACCTCACGATGGGAATTCAACAACAAAATCATCTGTGGAATTGAATACATTTGAGGTTGTTCTGACCCTCGAGGAACTGAACCAAATTGAGGTTCACAGACGGTTGGCTCCTATGATTTACCTGGGAATCCTCATGCTGCTTGGTGTTCCAGGAAACCTTACAGTGTTGTTCGTCTATTTGTTCAAATTTGGCAGCAGTACCCATAGAACCTTCATTGTGGCTTTGGCCATCATAGACTTGGTGGGGTCCGCGGTTTGTATGCCGTTCGAGATTATCGAAATGAACTTTCAGTACACATTTTACGCAGTTGGAGCATGTAAGTTTTTCCGCTTCAACAATACCTTCGTTGCTTTGACATCTATCTTCGTAATGATTGGATTGTCTGTGGACAGATACAGAAGAGTATGTAAGCCACTCAAAACACAGCTGACTGTGTTTATGGCGAAGATTGTTTGTGCTTTAGCAGTGTTTCTCTCTATTTTGTTCTCATGGCCTATATTATTTTTGCTTGGAACAAGGCGTGTTGAGCTTCCTTATAATGTCACTGGTTACGATTGTTCAACTGACGACAAATATAGAAAGACAATTTACCCAGTTGTTCACAACGGTATTCTTTTCCTTATCTTTGTTTTTGCGATCGTATTTTTGACTGTGATTTATATTCTCATTGGTAGAAAGATCTTCAAGCACATAAGGTTTCGGAACACCTTCAAATCCTCTCAATCGTTGTCTATTTCCTCGAGAAAAACGTCGTCTACTAAAGATCATCACAGTAACGAACAAGAAGGGATTGTTCTTGTGAATGTTAACAATAAAATATCTCCTAGAGAGGAACCGAAGCCCTCAAAAGAAACTGAAAGGAAAAGCTCAAGAAAGCGAAGTGAAACTACACCAGAAGATAATTCCAAGAAAAAAATCACCAGAATTGCCTTTGCTATTTGCCTGGCTTTCATTTTAAGCTATCTTCCACACCTAGTAATCACTGTGTGGACGGCCGTTAAGGGCGGGTTTATCGTCAAACCGGGACCAGTAGCCTCAGCAGTGTTGCCTATAGTGACGAGGTCCATTTTCATCAATAACATTGTGAACCCTTTCATTTACGGTTTTCTTGATAAACGATTCAGGAGAATTGTTCTCAGTAGTGTATGCAAGAAATATAAAAAGTGATACATTGTAGAAAAATGAAAAGGGGATTCTAATTTGCTGTGTCGATCGAAAATTTAGGAACATATTTCTGCCCCTATTATGTTTACTCATTTTTAGTCCTATTTGTATTATTATTATTGATCTCACTATCTCAAATAAAACTAAATTGACAGAGACACTATAAGTGTTCGATTAATATGTTGATGAATATATTGTATATGGATGTCTATCTAAAAGAATTGTACTTTCGTCAGAGTAAAGTCATGAGACCAGACCTTGGGGAATTCGTTTTAGAATGACCTCTTTTGTGGTGTTTGACTTTAAGTTAATGCTCTAAAGAAGTACTACTATTCTTTTGTTGAATTTCTCGTTGATCATCTCGAGAGTTACTTTACCATCCCAGATGAAACACCAAGATGTGTGAGACTTTTTAAATTAAGACAAAGAACCCATTGAATCTAATGGGTGTCAGGTTGTCCTGCAGGTCGGAACGGGTTGTTAGCTAACTTTCCGTTGTTTGCTTGATTAATTGTATGCTATTTTATATCACTTATGATGGTCTGTACATGCAACAATATCTATTTATGAAATTTCACAAAATAAGAATTTAGTATGTTGTGAATAATTACTGATGAAATGAAAAAATATGGAACTGTCACAACAAAACAGCACCGAGTGGGAAAGGCTAGATCTGTCCCCACTTGTAAATTAACCCAAACTGCTTAATGTATATAAACATGTAGTGTACATGTATATACACAGTTAAATATATAGACCACTAGTATTTAAATGTATTTTATGTAAAGTACGTAAACATTACTTATATTGTCATTGTATTTTTCCGTATTTGAAAAGATCGAATCTATTGTGTAGCATTTAGAGCGTTTTGATCATAAAATTACAAAAAGGAAACTTGAAAGGCAAGAAAAAATTACTTTAAAAACATACAGTTGTACCATGCACAAACAATCAAAAAAATAGTGTCCTGTTATACATCAAAAAAGTTTTACATTGTAAGCATTCCTTCAATGGAGGAAATTGAAATTTGATACAGATTAAACATTACCTTTCAACAAATCATATTTGCCTGAGGTTAATCCATTGTGTCATCCTATCACACCCTTATATACATATTCTGTAAAAGTGAAAACGCTTTTTCTTTGCTAATACATGGTTATCGGTGGTACTTTTTTATTCTTAGAATATACGCGTTTGTTCGAAGTGATTGATAAAAAACGGGTATATTTAAACTTTGAAAAACTACCAAGTCCTTATTAAAGTGTAAAACAGAAGGAATTTTTAGTTCAGTTTTTAAAGTGTAAATTTTACAGATTTAAAGTGTAAAATTTACAGATTAAAATTAGAAAAAAAAAAGTAAAGTGTGCAGTGGAAGGTAAAATGAAAAGCTTTTTCTTTGAAGACTGCTGTATTTTCCGCAAATAACACTTGGTCGACTACTTGGTCGCAAATTTTAATATGAACAAAAACGGAATTTCAACTAAATACAATACAACGTTGATGGTCGTTTCAAAGGATTATGACATACATTTCACTACGATGTTACCACCCATGGAAACAACAAATTTTGGAAAGGAACTTTCACTTGAGGAACTGAACCAAATTGAGGTCCAGAGACGCTTAGCTCCTATGATTTACCTAGGAATCCTGACTCTGCTTGGTGTTCCAGGAAACCTTACCGTGTTGTTCGTCTATTTGTTCAAATTTGGCAGCAGTACCCATAGAACCTTCATTGTGGCTTTGGCGATCATAGACTTGGTGGGGTCCGCGGTTTGTATGCCGTTTGAGATTATCGAAATGAACTTTCAGTACACATTCTATGCAGTTGGAGCGTGCAAGTTTTTCAGATTCAATAATACCGTCGTCGCTCTGACTTCCATTTTCTTCATAATTGGATTATCATTTGACAGATACAGGAGAGTATGCAAGCCGCTCAAAACTCAGATGACAGTTCTGAAGGCAAAATCTTTCTGTTTCGTTGCTGTAATAATAGCTATTTTGTTTTCTTCGCCGGTTTTCTTTTTGATAGGAACAAGGCGCGTTCAGCTTCCACACAATGTGACGGGTTACGACTGTTCAACAGACGACAAATATAAAAACACAATTTACCCTGTAGTTCTCAATGGGGTACTTTTTCTCTTCTTTGTTTTTGCGATCATATTTCTGAGTGTGATTTACATTCTAATCGGTAAAAAGATCTTCAAACACGTTAAATTCCATACCTCAGTCGCATCTACCAACTCGTCTTCAATTTCGTCAAAGAAAACCTCTTCTACCTCACTGCAAAGCAACGGACAAGAAGCCATTGTTCTGGAAAATATCTCCAACATGGCGTCACAGTCTGAGGACCTCGCAACCAAACACTCGAAGCAAAATCATACACAAAAACAAGGTCAAATTAAAGAAGAGCCTAGATCAAAGACCAGAATCACCAGGATTGCCTTTGCTATTTGCCTGGCTTTCATTTTAAGCTATCTTCCACACTTAATAATCAGTATATGGACGGCCATTAAGGGCGGGTTTATCGCCAAACCAGGATCAGTAGCTTCAGCAATGCTACCTATAGTGACGAGGTCCATTTTCATTAACAACGTAGTCAATCCCTTTATCTACGGCTTTCTAGACAGGCGCTTCAAGAGAATAGTTCTAAAAAGTCTTTGTAAGAAAAGAAAATGGAATATAGGGAGTTCTCTTTGAAATGTTATTTTGGGGTTGAGAAATTTATTCTGATACATGTATTATGTGTGATTATACTTCAGCATTGAATTGTAAATTTTGAACAAGAGCAGTTGTCCTGGCAAATTGAATAATGTACATTAGCTTGGTATGACATTTCGTTTGCTTAATTTACAATGTCTTTTTTGATTGGATGCACGGCGCTGCTGAAGGGCCAGGTGAAAAAATATTTTTGTTCGGACGAATAAAAAATTCGTTCGGAAATATTAGTTATTTGTTCGAACAAATTAGGTATTTAATCGGACGAATTAAATATTTGTTCAGACAAATTCGAAATTCGTCCGGACGAATTAGAAATTCGTTCAGACGAATAAGATATTTGTTCGAACGAATTAGAAATTCGTTCTGACAAATTAGTTATTTGTTCAGACAAATTAGTTATTTGTTTTTAGCGTAAATGGTGAGAGAGTTTACATGGAAAATTTAACAGTTATTTGAATTAAATAAAAGTTTTTAAAAAATCTATACTTTATATTTAATTACCAGGGTTAGTCAGCATAAATAAAGTACACTTTTAGACGGTCAAGAAAAACTCACAAGGAAGTTTAAATTGTCAAATCACGCATATTATTTACTTACTCTTTCCGGCAAACTGAGCACAAACTAAAGATAAACAGAATTTGAATAAACTACAATCTACACTTCCTGTCTTTTTGTTTTGTTTTTTTTGACAATAATTTTAATGGTTGTTCGTATATAAAAAAAACTCTAAACGCCCATAGTGGCTCATATTATCCACAGGGGTCATGATTTGGACACTTTTGAGTCAACACTCCTTGAAGATGCTTCCAGCTACTTGACGTGACCTTGCTGTTCTTGAGAAAAGAATTTTAACGTTTTTTCTATTAATATGTTTTTCTTTGTAAAACATTGATCGCCCAAAGTGGTCCCACCCTACTCCCGCAGGCACGTAGCAACAGGGGGGTCCAGGAGAGGGGGAGGGGGCTTGCCCCCACCCACTTTTTTCCCCAGCATTACTTTTACTATTGAAAATGTTCATTGAAAGGAAGTGATATCAAGGAAATGTACTATTGTATGCCAAAAAATTGGTACAGAAAGAAGTTGGCCTTGAAAAAAGTTGCCCTCTACCCCCCACCCCCCACCCACCCCCACGAAATAGGATTTTTGTGTTTGGGCAATTTCCTTTTTTTTTTTTTTGCTTGTCAACCTTTTCAGGTAAGTGAAAAAAAAATCTCCCTGGCTGCCGCCCACCCCCCACTTTCAAAAATGATGCTACGTCACTCCCGGAATTATGATTTGAACAAAGCTGAATCTATAGTATCTGAGGATGCTGCCAAATAAATTTGACAAATCTTGGCCTTATTGTTCTTGAACAGAAGTGTTTTAAAGATTTTTTCTAATATGTAAAACGTTGATCGCCCAAAGTAGCCCATACTATCCCAGTGAATCATAATTCGGACAAATTTGAATTTTCACTTGTCCCGAGGATGCTTTCTTGTTTAGCGGTATATAAGCAATATATTATTTTGCTATTCGTAAAACCGGATTTTTAAAGATATTTCCGAAGGGTTTCTTGGTAAATTAAACGTTGATCACCAAAAGTAGCCAAAACTATCCTGGTTCTTCACTGCCATAGAAATCTTTCACGCATGTTTCAACTTTCTGGGCCAGTTGTTCCTGAGATTTAAATACTATCCAATTTTCATATTTCTTAATATCTCCCCCTGGAAGGAGACGCGGCCCTTCATTTCAACCAAAATTTAATCCTAACTAGAGCAAAGCTCGTTGCAAAGCAACGAGAAGGTCTTCCGTCCTGTTTGTCCGGAAGTAACTTTCATTTTTACAAAAATGAGTAATAGCGTCCTAAAATTGTTTAAATCCTCTAAATCTATGTCATTTAATGTAAAAATCAGCCATTTTTTGTTACTTCCGGTTTGACCAGAAGTGACGACGACGGAAGGAAAATTAATTTTTTTGCTCCCAGTGACAGATGTTACCCAAAAACTTGTCAAGAATGGCAAAATATGCGTTTTCCGACTACTTCCGGTTTGGCCGGAAGTTACGTCACCGGACGTACTTTGACTTTAAGCTTGACATTTTGAACAACTTTGCTTCTTTGACGTATTACAAATTCTCAATACTTTTTGAGATATAAAGGAAAAATTTTGGCCCCTCTTGGCCCTTAATTTTAGGGGCCAGCCCTTTTTCTGAGGTATCATTTGAAAGATCTTCTAATTCTGCACAAATTATGTTATATATATTTTAACAAAATGTTTTTAGTTTAGAAGATAAAAAGCAAAATATGAGTAATTTTTGGCTCTTTTAAGCGTTCTAATTTTTGACCCTATA